CATATCGTGGTTATATCTCCCAACATGTGAAGTTACGCAGAAATATCCTAAAATTAATAGTTATTTAATAGTCATTGTTAGAGCGAATGTAATAGAAAAACTTTAAACTTTATAAAAATAAATTCCAGTTATGTTTACCATTTGGTAAGTAGTTCCCTTACCTTAAGAAATGCTTTTCTAGTCTTATCTGGGAAACCTGAATACAAATTAATGATTACAGGAATAAAAACTTTCAGCTAACAAAGGGAAAGAATTAAACTTGAATTGATTTTTAATAAAAAATATGAAAGTTATTCCTCACAACATATATGTATGTATGTTGAATATGACTTAAGTAATTTAGGACGTAATCAGCAACGCATTTTATAAAAGTATTTTTGTAATGTTTAAAAGAATTAATGAAATTTGTTTAACTTCTTCATTGAAAATACCTTTGAATCCTCAAAATTTGAATAATGTAAAATATTCAAAGCTGTAAATATTTTCCTTAATATGAGCTTCGAATACAAATGACCTACCTTTATTGTAATGGGATTGAGTAATTAAACTTCAACCTAGAAGTCATTTACGACTTGAATCACTTTAGTTTTATATGGTTTAGTTGTTATTACCATACATTACAACTGTATTCAGCAGTAAAACTAGTTTAAGAACATTTGAACATTTATTTACAATCATCTATTAACTTTAATTCGATTTGACTTTGATAACAAAAATCGTTGACAAAACAGAAGCCAAAAAAGAATATTTTTAAAATATTTACCGTGACATGAATTTCTTAATAACTGAATTAAATATAACTATACCACTTCTATTTTCACCTTGGAATACAAGTAGAATGAAATATGGTAAATATAAAATGTCATAAATTTCTTTTTTTTTTTTGCTAAATTGCAAGGAGAATTTCTGAAGATAAAAACATACATATATTTCTGACAATGCTTTCTGTAATCAATGCCCCTGCTTAAATATCTAGTACTATACAATTTAGAGAAATAAAACGTTTGTAACTTTTAATTTTATTTGCTATCGATACATATTGTTAGTATAAGTCCAGTTTCATTATTATTTTGATATTTTTCCATCCTATTTTTGGGATTTCTTTTCATCTTCAATTCACTTTAATTTAATATTGCAATAAGCCTGTATTGGATTTGGATGGGTCCGGATTTAGTTCAATACACCCGATAGCCCCTCATCAAGAATTCTCTCGAGAATTGTGTTGCGGCTAAAAACAAAAAAGTCAATTCTCTTTTACCGCACAATAAACATCTCAATAGTACTGTGCAAGTGAATATTTTTTAGGTATATATAAAAGAGGCAAAATTATTCCAGGGTATTATAACCTAAACTTATCCGAATGAATTCTATTGTAATGAATTGTGCAAATGAATACTATTCTATTTTTATACAAAATAAGAAAATTATTAAGAAAATAGAAATTCTATATATATGCTAAAGAAAATCCTAGTAGCTATGTCAGTTTCTGAAAAACAGCCGACCAAAGGCACGTATTACTAGCAATAAAAAAAATCCTAATTGCTTACGCTTTGTGAAAAGTCAATTTACCAGAACATAACATGTTGAAAAAACAAACCCTTAACCTTGCGAAAAATAAAAGAAAATTCGAGTAAAATAATAAGAATTTATATTTGAAATCTTCAACATCCACTCATACCTTAAATAATCTCTACAATGTTATTGTTTTCATACATTTAATTGTTCTCAGTATTTTTTTTTTTGAATATTTATTGTTTCAAATAATAAAATTGGTATTTTATAACTACTTGAAGTCTCAGGTTGTTGTTTAATTTAAAACGTACAATGAGAAGAGGACTTAAAAGATGTTCTTTGTTATATCATTTAAGCTTCAGTATTCCGAGCAGAGCATTCTAAATACTTTACTTTGAAAATGCATTACTCAAGTATTGTTTGTAGTAAGAATAATAATATAAAACACAGTTTCAAGATTTTCTTTGTAACGTGATAAATACTTTGAGAATTTCCATCTCGCAAGTCTACACAAAGCCTATTAATTCTCATAATATACTATTTCACTCATTACATTGCGTTTTTGCTTTTGTACTATAAGTCAAAGTAAAAGGAGTGTTGTTTGTTTATAAGATTGTAGAAACTCTAATTTTTTTTAATAAATTAAAGTATTAAGTTTAAACTCTTTGATAAAATGAATAGTAGGAGTAAAAGGACCATATGGTATCTTTCTTAGACTAGGTATGTAAATTCCTTCATCATTCTTGAAGTCCAAACCAACAAAATCACGATCCAAAGGACTATTAATGGCTGGACCCTATTGGATTAACTGCACATAACAAAACATTGTTATTTTTAAAATACATACAATGAGTTACTTTAACTTATCTTTTCAATAGTTTGGATTATACTTTTACTAACAATTAAACTATTCTTATTTTACGTTATTTATATTTCGATGACTTTTATCACATGTATCATAATTTAGGTTCTTTACTGCTAAGAAGAAACTGTTCACAAACAATATGAAATTACCATATAATTCTTCTTTTTCTTGTCGCCGGATAAAATATTAAGTAACACAATATTCAAGTTATATCCAAAAACACTATCCAGAAAATATTTAAGTACAAAATATATACTTATTTTAATACTTAAAAATGTATATTTAATTTGAGTTGAATTAAAATGTGTTATTTTCAATGAACGTCTTTTTATTTATCTAAATGTCATCTTTACGAGTTTATCACATCTGAAATAATAATGATAATATCTTGCACTAACAACCTAATTCTCTAAATTCAATTAACACACCGTGCGGTGTAGCTAAACACGCGATGCTCAATCCTGTACACCAGGGCCAATAGTCTACCGTCCACTTATATCTCTTCGGTAATAATAGACTTAAGGGCGAAAATCTTATCAACAGCGTATTTTGTTGACGATTGTACCACTGGTTCCCTAATTCAACAAACAATATTATGATTTAGTGCTAAATAAAGCTGCTTCCTCAGCAAAATTTTCAGCAGGAAATTGGGAAAGTAACATTGTAACAAATGGATACTTTGAATTTAATCTACGCATATTTTCTTAACCTAAATTAACTACTTTAACAACTTTTTGGGATTTGAATAAAATTCATAATATATTATCTTTATAAATTGTAATAGATAAAAAAATATTATATATGAAATATAAATTCTATAACGTTATCGCTTTGTTTTAAAACACGAATCCTTAAGAACAAAGAGAGCTACTTGTAACTTTAAGAAGGATTTATGTTCAGATAAATAAAGTTTGCTGAGCAAGGTTGTTGTACCGAAAGAAAATATTTTCAAATTCTGCAAATGAGAATTAACTTTTGCAGGATAAAGTGTATCGTAATTCTGTATAAATTAAATACTTATTAAATAATTTGAACACAATAAACCCCTTTCATCTTAAACTTTCATCTTGTTGAGCTTCTCTCTTATAATAATATTTATCTTTTTCCGCTGTGGTAAGATATTTCATATTGATATGAAATATTGTGTTGATATTTCCTCAATTTATCTTGTTAGTAGCTATTGTTGGAAGCGTGGTATTCGATAATTTGAATAGTTAAAATACTATTGATATGAGCATAATAAACTTACCTTTCTTTGAGATCGTTTTTTATAGTTATTTTTATGTACTAAAAAAAAGTCATGTAGCTTGTTATACGAAATATATAATAAATTTTTAAATTAAGCTGTTATATATATAAGAATTGTTATAAAAAAAACAAGCACTTTAAAGTTGAAAGATATGATAACCATAAATTGGCACCTTCATTCGTACTTACTTTATCGCCCAGGCTAGCTGAATTTAATTAAAGGCATATATTTTGTGGAGTATAAATCAGATGGTGGAGCTCGTATCCACATTATTTTCACTCGGCCCTTAAGACCTACGCAATTTTTCCGCCTCACGAGAGTGATAAATGGTTGGCGTGAAAAGAGCGGATTCTTTTCTGAACGACCGCTTATTCTCAAAGTATTGCGATAAAAATTTATTTAAATATTTGTTTATATGAAGTCATGTATTAAGAATACAAGCTAGCTCGCACAAATTATTTATTAGGCAGAAACTTTTTTGTTACCATCTTTTCAAGTAATCACAATTTACTTTGAAATTTAGAGAATAACATAAATAAAATAAAAATGTCATTAATTTTGAATGAAATCTAAATGATTATTCTATAAAAACAGCTATAATACAAAATAAAAGAAAATATATTTCTATATAAAAAATAAAGGGGAGAAAGGGTCATACCCTAACCTATGTTCAAGCTGATGTTTTCACACGATAAATAAATGAAATGAGAACGCAGAACAATCATTAGCTTAGTTTCATATTTAAATTATCCTTCCAAATATTTATTTAGGATTGTATGTTTTCATCAAAAATATTCTATTATGTTACGTATTCATATTGTTTTAATATTGAGTTATGTTTTCATAAATCTATTAATATCGTATATGTACGGAATACGAACATCAATTGTTGTTGAGAGTTCCTAAAATATGAGCGAATTGACTAGTCGTTTGTCAGAAAAACTTAAGCATCCTCGAGAAGAGGCAATCTTATTTTGTTCAGAGTATTGTTTTTATTTGGGTCTTCGCCTCTTCTAAGCTGCAAGGAAATCCTATTACAGAAACATTTTGGTGCCAAGTTATTTTACCAAAGAATATTGGATTATTCTACAAAACTATTGTTATTAAGTCAATGTTTTGACAAAACGAAGGCAACCTTACTTTGATGGCAAATGAGAATGAAAATAGTGGGATAAAAACTGACTACACTTTTATTATTCTAGTAGCACATTTGCCACTCTTTCTTTTATTACTACATATATAAATATTAAGACATTAAATAACATATTGAGCCAATTTATGGTTAGTAATTTCTTTTTGTTTTATTATTTGTATGTCCACTTAAAATTAAACCTATAATTATGAATACGATTATAATATCTTCTCCTAGTCGAGCTAATTAGTTTCATTGAGTTTGGTTTTTGTTTTTTCTACATATTCTTTAACTTCTGGATCCTTTTCCATGATCTTCTTCGCTTCTTCAGAATCTATTTCAGGAGCTTCACCATGGTATGTATCTTCAGTGTAAACTCGAGTAGTTTTCCTCATGGTACCGTGCAACTATAACAAAAGTACCCGAATTATGCATAAGAATATCTTAAAACACCATAAAATAGTATTTATTGTAGTGCCACTATTACTTGAAAGAGCTTAGGAAGATTTAAAGGAATGCTCGTGAAAGTCTTAGATATCATTATTGCTTAAATGTTGAGTAGATGACTATTTACCCTTTTATATCTTTTTTTAAGGTTATAAAATAGATTGAATCATCAATCCGGGCTCATTTCCAGAAGATAACCTCATACATTCTGCGGGTTCGTTGTTTAACTAAAATCTATTATAAAAAAGACATACCCTATCCCAAAGAGACATGTTGAAGCCAAAGTTGCAATGGAAAAATTCGTGATGCTGGTCATGGAACTCGGCGTCTGGCTGCCAAGGCTGCCACCACTGAGCTTTAAAGTTGATGCCGGAGTGGTCGAGGATACCATGATAATAGTTGTACAATATAACGCCATAAAACGCCGCTGAAACATTACAAAGAAAAATTATGATAAAATAAGATTAAAAGATAGTGTTTTTGCTTATTCTACTTTTCTTAATATTAGTGGAAACGGGAACGTCTGATGAATAACAACATACTTTTAAGTAGTTATTCAAATAATAACAAAAGATGTCATATTACTAAAAGAGAAATCGTAAGCAACACATAATTACATATTTTATTATTATTCGCCGAAATATATGTACATTTGGCGATATAATTTTTTATCAAAACAGACCACTTTAAACGTGTGATAAAAAATGTTACTTGTGTCATCTAGTTAATGTTTCATTATTGAACAAATAATAAAATAAACAAATATAAATGAAAAATAAACTTCGTATTAAAACAACATTTTTTTGAAAATTCAGCGCACCTTCGCTACCTGTATTTCTCTTAGATTTCATCAAGCGGATCATCTGCAAGGTGCATTGCAGGTGTTTTTAATTTGTATGTCCAAGTAAATTACATACACACTTCTAATGCCTATAAAACATTCGGTTGTTGCGGGTTCAGTCCGATTACAATTACGATTGTGTATCTCAGTTCAATTCTAAGACTATTTTTGAGATTTATAACTTGTTGTGTACTTAAAGTGTCAAATTTGTTAGTCAGAAACAAACATTGTAATGAGTGAACAAGATTTCAATGGAGGACCAAGACTTTCTAGCTTAAGCGACAAATAAATTAAAAGAGTAAATTATTACACTAAATTGATCGCTTTTCAATTTAGTGTAATATGTATTAGATATAAAAAAGTTCAAATGATTTTGAGGACCATAAAGTATTGTTTAACAATTATATAAAATATTTTAAAAAATCCAATTTATAAAATCACTTGTAACATTTCAATTGACTATAAAAAACAATATTTTAAAAGTACTGGACAAAATTCGAATGGGTAATTAACTGGCAAGAGAGGACGTGTACCCCCAGAATTACTTGAAATAATTGATGACGACAATGATTATGTCAACCCAAAATCACTTAAAGAAGCCGTGATAGGAAGGATAACCGATAAGTATAAGCAAGATAAGATTAGACTAGATATAATGGGAATAGTTTAAGTGAACTTCTACAAAGGAGAAAATGTCATTTTCAGGGAGCCACCATGGTTAGATACGGTAAAGGGTCTAAATTTTGATGAACCCTATGAAGTCAAGGAAGAAAAAAACCCCCCTCATATATATGATCCATTATCCATTATAATGACTAAGAATCCTTGTAGGTGCAGAAAAGTATGCTACAAACATTTATAAGTGTTCATAAATGTCGGAGTCCGGAGCAAGTTGGTCGTATTGGCAATGATAAGAAAACAATTGCAACAAAATTGAGTTCAGCATAATATTTATTTAATTAGAGAATGCTATATCGATATCAATATTCAATATTCGCGCTCTGGCTATGAGTTTTTATTTTATCTACGATTCAAACCAAACTTTTTGAGAACCATAAACATTTTACTGGATTCTGTTTTGTTAACCATATAAAGGTTTATTGATTTTATCTTCTAACCTTTATTTTTAGAAGCAACTAAGAACTGGGTGCAAGGACATGCCTAAATTAATAATGACCGTATCAGCAGATTAAAACCATATCAGTTCAAAACTCCAATGCACCCGTATTATCCGCGATTCTTATAAAGTAAACAAGTGAATCATCGTCAACTGCATCATCATTGCAACTGTTCTCATTCGTATATTAAAACATAGCCCCCACTTCTTAAGACAACACACACACAATTGTATAAAATATCGCTATTTGTCGCGTTCTAAGTTCGTTTACCTTCACAAAGTTTGAATTATGTGTATCTCAGTTGAATTCCAAGATCGTATTTGGAATTAATTACTTGTTGTGTAACAAAGTTGGTTTATCAATATTGTTTAAGTCACCATTAGACACTGTTATGTGTACATGAACTTTACCTATATATGTACAAGAGAAGAATATTTCTCATTTTAAGGCCCTAAATATATATATGTACACTGGTTCATAAATAATATATATTTGAAACTTAACTAGCCTTTAAACTTTGAAATTGTTTATTATATGATTAAATATCACGTCTGTCTAAGGACTAGATTACGAAAACTAGTTCAGTTATTTAATTAAAAAATTAAGTTAATTTAAGATTCAACGATATTCTATAGATTACATTAGAATTATAATAAAGCAACATATGTATTTCACTTACTCCAGTGTATGGGAATAGTAAACAGTGGCAAACACATCGTAAGTTTCACATGCATAATCTCAACTGGATGGATGGCGGTGACGGAGAAGGCGGTTGGCTGTTTGTATTTATGATGAAGTTTGTGGAAATGTTTGTACAGCCAGGGTGTGTGGTACAGCCGGTGAAGTATATATGTTGTGTAATCCTGAAATGTTACAAAATCTATTATAAATATATATACTTATTTCTATATAGAAATATGCATATGCAATGTATGTTAGAATTAATACTTACATCTATTTAAACAGAAAAACAGTAACCAACTTTTAACTGATAAAGCAAAATTTTAAATATGCTTAAATATTATTTATATATTTTACATAAGTAGGATTTGAAGCTTTTTTTGTTATACATAATAAAAATACTCACAGAATAAATGAACATAACAGGAAACTGGAGGATGAACCACAACCAGCCATATTCATTGAATTGGAAATAAACAGTGCAAGGGTTTCCATTGAAGATGTAACATGCTAGGAATGAAGAGAACGACCCGGAGATAAGTAGAGAGAATGTTCCGACCATTATTTCATGACGTTCCAGCTCGGGAGAGAGCCATTTTGTAGGTTGAATCTTCCATTCGTGTGCTAGATGACGTCTTTTCATGTAGAAGTACCACTGGAAAAATTAACCTCTTATGAAATCTAATTAACTTATTTTACTATTACAGTTAGGGTGAAAATTGTACGTGAAATTTATTAATATTTTTATTAATTTTTCAATTTTCAGTACTATTTTCTAGTTGTATCTTGACTCAAAGTATTATAATATGTACTAAGATATTTTTATGTTCATTGTGATCATTGCATTAGATATTTAATTAAAATTGGCATTCTTCAAATTTAGCACTCTGTTAATATTCCTTAAAGCCAAACCATTACATCCGATCTCACAAACCAGAAAACTTCGCTCGTACAGGTATTGTATATAAGTATACCAAGATTTATTCATAAAATAATACTAAAGACAAAATGGTCTGTAACTATCTAATACCTAGGGTCTTTTCATTAAAATTTTAAGTCCATATTCTTGACCACACTGGAAATACGAATGACAACACTGTAATGAAATATTACAAGACGAATTTACAGATGCGATTATCATGTTAAGAAATTTATATCACATTCTTATAAGTTATATGTATGAAAATTAAGAGTCAATTGAAGTTACTTTGATTGTATAGTATCTGTGTTGTGTGTGTCAGTACATATGTACCGATAAAATGAAGGAATGCGTGAACTTGTGTTACTAACCTCACGTCATTCGTCGCAAATCATCTAGGACGATAATGAAATATCTTTATTGCTTACAATGTTTATTTAAATATTCTCATATTAATTTAAGACAGTCGTCTTTTACTTGTAGTACTATTAAAAATTCTGGTAAGCTTCATTTATTTCATACTTTCACACTTTACAAAAAAAATTTAGAACAAAAGAATACTGAGGTATATCGATAATTAAAATCTACATTGAAAAGATTTCATTGTTATCAAATTACGTGATATAAGTATCGTTTGGGTTGAATTAAGGTCGATAAAAATGTTTTACATGTTTTTTTGTTAATGTGTTACGTCAATGGACTATAATAAAAAGTGGATGTGTATATCTAATAAATATAAATAGTATAAGAAACAGTAATACAAGTTTGTTTTCGTTAAAACATTTTGATAATATATTTTTCGGAAAAATACATTTAATGAAAGTCTCGTTTACCTAACAAGAACCATGATCACGAACAGACGTGTGAATGAAAATGACAATACTTTCAATATGCTTCAGTAGTTTTAGTTTTCGTTTTCAGAAAATAATTGAATCCAACATTGTTAAACTTACGTGTAAGAACCCTCCTATAGAGAAGTACATGCCCAATGACACGCAGTGCGACACTATGAAGATTATAGCGAAATTCTCCATCTTTAAATTTTCAGACGTGAAGAGCTGATAGATGTCTTCTGTTGTCATATTTTTTCCGCTTTGGGTGTGGCCGGAAATCTGTTTCAACGCTGTCACTAGTATAACCACCCATTCTCCTAAAATCAATATGGAAATAAAATGAAAAAAAGTTATATACCACCATTTTTATAAATCTGAAAAAACTTCACCGTATTGAGAAATAAAATTCATACAGAAAATATATAATGAAGTTTATAATTCCCAGATGTTATGTTGTAGAAGAATAGTGTTACGGTATAACACTATTATTCTATTCATTAGAATTAAAAGGATTTTTAAATTATTAAACATTTGTAAAAAATACGCAAATATCAAAAACCTAAACCGGATAAGTTCAAAAAGGCTAAGGGATAAGAAGTTCTTCAAGTTACAAATAAACAGAAATATAGTTTGAGACGTTATTATCACTTACGTGAGAATTACACTTATAACAAAAACATTTATGAATAAACAGTTCGACATCGCACTTGTAACAAAAATGAAATGAAATAATGCTTAACTAAGAGACATTTTTCTATATTAAGTACTATTTTAATATATTGTATTAGTTTTAGTTATTTATTATTTAAAATATACTCAACAAGTTCTTCTTTAAATACGTTAAATGAGTTTACATTTTTTACAACTGTGGGTAGTTAATTACACAGTTTGGCACTTTCAAACCTTCAAAATTGTTTTACCGTAATTTGTACGAATCCTGGGTAGAACGAAAAAACTAGCTTGACGTGTGTTACGATTGCCGTTTGACACTTGTTTCTTGAACGTTATACATAAAGATTTTTAATTTTAATTATTTTCATGGTATATTTTTTTAACATTTGTTAGATAATGGTATTTAAAAAGTAATTTGATTAATTTATTTTGTAAGACCTGCAGTTGATTTATATTGCTTTTTAACTATCCCAGACCTCAATCAAGTAAGATATACATATGGGGTTTTACTAATGCGTGATATATTGTATGTTGTAACTTAGTAGGTATTTACCTCCCAACATTACAAACCAGTCAGACTTACTAATTTTCTTTTCATGTGACTGATATGGTGTTTCCAAGTCAAATATATGTCCATATTATATAGGCTGATATTTCATAAGTTTTTTGATTTTTGAATAAAGATTGGATGTATTTTTTCTTTCACTACTAAGAGGAGACCGTTCACATTGTCTCCAACTTTTCAGAAAGTGTGATTGGAATACATCGATCGCACTAAGTTATTAGGTAGTGAGGTATCCTTGAACCTTAACTTCGGCCGATTTATTGAGTCCTAAGGTAAGGCAATGATAAGGCAACTTGGTATCCTTACAATGGAAGGGTAGTTCTTCGTCCTGGGATAGATTTTCTATATAGATAAAAAGGCTGTACTTGCACCTCTTTCAGGGGCTTTGAGAAGCCGTACCTCTTTGCACTGCGAAATGTCATCTCACTGCTTTGGGTTCCTTGCAGAGATGTGGAAGAAGGCCTTTTTGGTGATCATGATATGGTCAACCCCATTCTAGTAAGTCTTGAGCATAGGTTTAAAGTAGCTAGTATCTCAGTATTCAATAAGATACACTTTGGAAAGTGTGCACAAGAATTACACAACTTAATTCATAAATCCCCTTTTTACTATCTACAGCCAGACGCATGGCGAGTCGCCATATTAAATGAATAGAAACCTTCTCCGCATCGGAGGTAGTGATAAGCTTCTTTACCCAACTGTTGGAACAGTTTGATTGCATCGTTGTTTTTTTCTTTATATAATTGAATTGTCTTTGAGTCTAGAGTGCATAGGTTAACACTAAGTTTGTGCATGATAGTGAGAATACAAGAAGGGACCGATTTTTGAATAACTATTAAATGTATGCTATAAAAAATCTGCGAATGGTGTAGTAATACTGATTAAAACACTTTACAAGCCGACTCGGTGAAACAATGTAAAACCCATATCTCATTCATACTCAGAAAATATTTACTAGGTAAAGTGATAAGTGGTGTATAGGAATGTATACGGTCATATTTCGTCAAGCTTTTGTTATTAATCCGGGCACAGTTTAGAGCTTCAAAGCTAAAAATTACTCCCAAAATATAAAAGCGCGTCTTGTGATAGAAATATTTATCTAATAAAATACCATACAATAGTTGTAACAGTCAGTGGTGGCCTAGTGGTTAAAGGGCCTGCGTCTCGTTGCCGAAGGCGCGGGTTCGATCCTGGCCCGGGCAAGTACCAATGTGATTTTTCCGAGTCATATGTACATACTTTCTAATAGTATTTAGACATCACTGATTAATGATGATTCCCAAAAGAGGGTTGATGTCAGGCAGGCGGCCGGTCGTAAAAACAAATAGCCAAAACTATTCATAACATGTAAGGCAGACCCTGGCTATAGCTGGGAAATTGCCAGGTTGAAGAAGTTGTAACTGTACTATTTAGGAGTGTTTATTTAATTCTAACACAAATAATAATATTACAACTATAATCTGACTGTCACATCGTATGTGAGCATTTGGTCTTACAAGAATAAATTCATTTGCGGAAAACATCGAGCGTGAAAATGATTACCAGCGGCAATATTGACATAAATACGCGCGATCATCCCTATTATAATATAATTATTTTATATTAAATGTGGAATATATATTGCTTTATTTTATAACGATATTAGCTGAAACAACGTCGTTTAAATGAGCGTATTTATAATTAAAACAAAGTTATTTTATCAATATAAAGCCATTGAACTTTGTTTGTAATTATAAAGTTATTATTTGATCTCTTTATAAAGTTTGACAACCTTTATTGCCCGACTAATTACTTTGACTTTCTCAAATTCAAAATGGTTTTAACTCAAAGTATTTACGTTTTACTTAAACATACATATTTTAATTACTTGATATTTATTAATTTGAGAAAATTACACTTAAATATTACAATGAAATGTTTTGTGTAAAAGAAATATGTTGTGTGTTACGGATATTATACATATAAAAAGTTTCAGGTGCAATCACGAAATGAGCTCAATTTTGGGTAAGGTGAATTTGAGATGACACCTCGTAGAATTCAATGTATTCATCGTGCGGGTGCCGGGTCTATCGCGTTGCAGGGAGATGAGCTTCAACAGTGCCTGAGAGTTGCAACATAGGTGTAGGTTTAAGGGGCGACCCAGGTGTAGGTCAAACGCTCCTTTCCACTGTCCAAGCTCCCCTCTCTACACAACCAAATTTGAAACGAACCTACTAGGGCTGCCTTCGAAGCACCCTCTAAGAATGAATTGATATTAGTTCTGAACAGGCCCAGGTCTTATAGTAGATTTTAGATATATTTAGCTTTTACACCTCTCGTTCCAACTTGATGGCATGGTCTTTGGGGAAGTTAGTTTCCCAAGGCCAACTTAGTTTACAATGTGTTGGTATACGATAGAGCATAATTATTGTTTGTTATCCTCAAGAAGTTTCTTTTTAATGCATATGAATCTATTTTATTTATTTCTTTGTAGTTATCTAATATCTTGTAATTAAACGATTTGCTTTTATCTGTTAATGATTTTTATCTTTAAATCTTCAAAAAGATTAAATTACGTGCTCCGTTACTATGCCATTTCAAGATCAATCATAGTCACGTTTGTCAAACAGTGCTTTAAAGAAATTTGAGTATACTTTTAAATTAATCAAGGTTGATAATATTCGATGTAATTTTTGTTTTTTAAGTCAATATAAACTATTTCCTTTTATTAGATAAGCGACAGATCCTTCCTAATGTTGGCAAATATTTAAACACGATTTATATACAAGGTGACTGGTGAATTACTATCGATACTTGAGGACGTGATATTTGACGATCATATATGACAAAATAAAAATTAATATAACATAAATATTAATAAACTTCTAAGTAAAGTTAACCAAAAGTTATGTAATTAATTACGCATCGTGTGAACACCCTACAGATTAGGTATACACACACACACACTCACGCGTGCGGCGGCGTGGTGCTGTATCAGCACGCCACCGCACGATTCTACACTTGGAACACTTGGAACGTGTCCACACTTTATTTATTTATACGGAAAGTTGGTCAAAAATTAAGTGCCTATTTTTTTTAACATAATTCGAATGAGAATCATGTACCGAGTATTCTCCTTAAATATTGATAGTAATTCACCAGTCACCCTGTATAAAACTGTAGAAAAATAAAATACATAACTTAAGTCAGGAATCCTAGATGTATTATTATTGTCGACAATCAATCAACACTCGCATATTATCATAAAACATATAACATATAATGATATCGTGCAGTTTCTGTTTACGTCTTAAACAAGTATGAAAAGAAAGGAAAAAAATAAAAAATAATCTTCTCCTTTTTTTAAGTCGGCTGATGAAAAAAAAGTTTTCTTGTTGTCAGATTATAATTACTTATAAATAATCGAAAACTTATATATTTATTTTTACTTTCACAATACTGCTAATGCGACAGCAAATCTTAATTTTTATATGGATTATAGCTTTAAATATAGATAAGATCTCTGTAATGACGTTAAAAGTAATTATAAAATAATTATCAATTTTATCTTATGATTTTTATTTGATAAACTTTGGATTTCTATTATCGTTTATTGGGAATTCATTAACATTTATAAGAATGGAAATCTTAGTATATTAGTCATATAGTCGATAAAGAAAGATAAACCGAAATGCAATAAATCATGAGATGACTCTACAACCAGGATAAAATTATTGTTAAGGAAATTTACTGTTTAATCACAAATATTTTCAAAATATCTTTTTCAAGGTTATAGGTACTTAATGAAATACAAAACAGCTATATAAAAAAAAATTGCAACACCATAAAATTTAACAAAAAGAAATAATTGCCACCCTACAGGGACCGTCTTATGTCGATGAGACCTTATATAATGTAAATATAAGGTGTTATTAAACGAAATATACTAAATGCACATGGAAAATATAGCAGCAACAGAAACACCCTCTGTGTTGTACAAACTTCATATTATAACAAAAAATGAAACCGAAAATTAATAGGCATAAATTTATAAAGATAGTTTGGTCCCATACCTCTCAAAGTGGCGCCGAATGTGAAGACTGCGAAGGTTGCTACGAAGGTGCTTATGAAGTCTGGAAGCCTCTCAAAAAACTTCTCCAGAGGTTCCGCATACCTTTCTATCCATTTAACACCATCTACGAGCGGGTCCCAATATTTTGGTTTCTCTTCTTCAACGGTCTTAGCTTTTTTGATTCCAGATTCATCGATGCCATTCGTCTCATTCCCATGAGATCTTTGTCGTACTGACGCCATCCTACAAAATAAATTCATTAGCACATCATTGCTTCTGCTTTTTAATATGAAAGTGTGGTAGAAACTTCTCAGAGCTTGGCTCACTTCAGCTGATCATTTATAATTTATATTCCCACTTTTTAGTGCGTTGTTTGTGATATTTTAGATTTTTGATCTATTTCATAAATAAATATTGGTAAAGTTACTGTAATTGTTATGTATTTGAAATTATTATGCTTATATTAAAATCAAATTCTAGGTTATTTTCATTGTAGAAAGTACCTACTGCTATTTTAATAGACTGGATCGAAAAAAATGATTTTTAGCTAGTGAACGCATAATAATTGGAATAAGCTTAATTTGTTCATGACTTCATCTTACCATGTCAGGAATAATATTTATTATATCATTGTGTAAACAAAACTTCGCTTAATTTTAAACTCATCTTACAAATTATCAGCGTGGATATTATTATTAAAATACAAAAGTTATTCAACAAACACAAAATTAATTTTAATAAAACGGGCAGATAATAAAATACTTTTATTTAATATTTATGAAACAGTCAATATTTATATTATGTAAATGAAATAAACTTCTCATACAAATAAAACCCGTATTAAAACACGCCAAGTCAATAACAATATAAGGGATTTCAGATTTCTACATAATTCAAATAAAATACCTTTACTTAAACCCGCTTGTCCGATGAATATTGTATGTACTCCTTCATTTGTCAACCACAAGTGAGAGTTTTGTTGTGCAAAAAAAAATATTTTGATAACATCCATACGTATAAATAAATTCTTATGATTGTGTTATCTAATTAATTAATTATAAGTAAATGTCTCTGATAATCGAATGTCTTAAAATATTTAATTCAGTTCTTATTCAATCTGATTAAGAATGTTCTATTCCCTATTCTATCTTTATTCAAATTAATTTAGATTCAAACATACTCTTTCCAAACAAAATCAAAAAAACTCGTGGAAATATATGCTATATTTTTTTATAAATATGTATAAACAATTACAAAACGATGTGTAGTCTCTTCAACGCTTCAATATATTTTTTGTAATATTTATTATTTTTATTTCTGAAGTAGGGAATTCAAATTAACAAATAATTATCGTATTCTATCCCAACTGCCATCTTCCGGGTTATTTAAAAACAACCTGGATGCAAATGCCACGACCTATTTTCCCTGATATTTAAGCTCGATACTTCGTCGATAGATGTCACTATAAAGAAAATTAGATGATAGTGATTTCAATATCACTATCATCTAATTTTTAAAGAAATTAATTTTAAAGAAATTATGATTTAATAGAAATTATATTTTAATAGAACGTGGTCATAATGATCAACCTTATTTATTTTAACTGTCGTCACTGTCATCATTGTTTTTATATAAAATTTTAAAATAAAATTGTAGTTTAGGATGTTTCGGACTTTTGTAATGCTTGACAATTATAAGAGATGGCGGTATTGATAAATTTAAAATATTTTAAGAATAAATCGCAACTGAAGGGGTTTTGTCTTCTAAGTGCTCTGGTAATTTTTAATTTCATACCTAATTTTTTCTAAAATAACATTTTAGAATATCATATTAGAAATACTTTTGACAATTTAAATTGTTTTAGGTATGTAAGTCTGTCTCAATTTTATTTTCCTAAGCTAACATAACTTTATAGTACACTTAAGGATGAATGTGAATGACAATTAATGTACTTCTGTAGTAGAAAATACTCCTTTGGATTTTATTGAAGTCAAATGCAGATTTCGAGGCGATATTATTGATTTGCTACATCATATTTAAACTATCAAAAAAATATTCATTCCATTCATAAGTAAACTACATATTATAATATTCAGTTGTTATTTAAGTTAGTTTATATTATACCGTTGGTTCATATCTATCATTATAACGCACCACAGTCAGGGGTTCTTATGATGAGATGGGAGCAGCTAGCAACAAACGTAATGTAATTACTTATTACCAAGTCAATAACATCTCGTATAGCAATATTGTATAACAAATTGTTAGCAAAAAATAGATAACTCTATCTAATTGTATCTATATTTATTATAATCCGATATAAATGATAATTAATTCAAATTAATTTCACTATGTTCGTGTTAATTCTATCTTGTCATTTTAAAGGTCATATAAATATTGATTTGTGTTAGATAAATAATATTGAAAATCAAACGCCGTATCTCCCTTTGAATGGTTTTCTATCAGCCCACTACCAGGGCGTATGATTTATGTGTCTGTGTTATGATTTATTTACAACCTAGTAAATGTTTCATACTTATTTTTAATGTTTCTGTTAAGCTGTGATTTACTTTAAAATAATTTAATAGGTCTGTGCTCGATAAAATCTTACTTTTAATGGTGTTGTAACTATTTATCCAACAACTACATATTAGTCAAGGCTATATTCCATAAGAATTATTTAGTCTAAATATAGTCTAAATATACTTTAAATATTAAATTTGATTTACGTTGATTCTGATTTATATTTCAGGAGCAGAAGAGCCTAAAGTCTTAGCAATTTAAGATATTATTGTTTTCTTTATTGCTTAATTTTTTTCTGTATGACACCTTTCTTCCTGTGGACTTGAATTTCGTTTAAATTTCTAAAATAATTTGACTTCAAGTGTATAGTATATAAAGTACATATATGTATACACATATAATTTTAATATCAATTACGATTCACAGGTACTTATCAACAACTTACCAGAACACTCCAAAACATCATTCAATTCCAATAAAGGAAGCGCCCTTGGTGGCAGACATTAATCTCGTACACGCTTGGTGGTCTTTTGTGTTCAGAATTACGGCGTACCCCCTGAGTTATGGCGGCAACAAATTTAATGTAACCCGTGTACAATGGCCCATTGATTTGGCAACTGACTAATGGGGCTTAGCCATGATTTTGATAGTAAATTATAGATAGCTTTGCTATGATATTGAGCTTCTTCAACAAACAGTCGTCTATTTGCATACAATGAAAACCATACTGTTATCCTAAAAACCATCACTAATAGAGCATAATAAAAGTTTAACAACAACTTACATTCATTTAAACTTCTCATATATACCAATTACAACAGCAGTGAAACGGAATATAGATGATTCAAGCCAAAACTATTATGAAAACCTTCCCCCTCATACAATCAAATACTTGCATATAATCTATGGTAATGATAAACAGCCCAGTGGCAATCATTCACAGTAAAGTTGCTTCATCATTACGCCATTATGAGTTCACCATTCGGTTATAATGCCCCGGTTAATATTTTAGAGACCGCGGGGATCCCACACGGGGGCTCTTTATGACATAGATTAAAATATATAAATCATGTTATTATATATACTGAAATTATTACTGATTATATATTTATTATAAAGAAATAAACATTACTCATATGTATATATTTTTTTAATATCTATTGATTTTTCTAAGTGTAATTCAAACAAAAGACATTATGGGATAGTGATGGCACTTTTAAATAGTAACTTTTATTTTAGAAATATATAAAAATTATAAAGAAAAGATTTTCAAGTATTTTTTAATAATATTGTAAATGGTAGGTATAAAATAAGTTTATGTAATGTAACACATCTGACAGTATTTTTAACAAATCTTGTATCGAGGGCAGAGGGGCCCTAAGTCTGCAGGGGGTCACTAATCCTACTGAGTCATGAAATTGATACAAAATTTGGTTTCGATCAAAAGCCGTATTAAATTTTGGCGTCTTTGTTATTTAGATTGCCTCCAAAATGATTTTTATATTTAAAATTTTAAAGCTCATTCAGAAACGTTTTTATTTGAAAAGAAGTAAGTTAATTAAAAAAAGGATTTGATTTGATAAATAAAAAAAAGACTTTTATTGTGATTCTAAAATATTTTATTTATACCGTGTTACAAGATGTTTATTTGTTAGAAAATAAATAATTATATTTTAGAAGAAGTAAATCTTACTTGTACAAGGGAAAATATCTTTACGTTCGAATTTAGACGACAAATTCTCTTCGACGTATTGAAGATGTGTTTTCAAATTGTTTTCATCGCTCTTTTAGGTCTAGATTTTTTAGCATTACTAAGCTCAAGCTAACAGCCAACAGCCAACAACACATACAGTTTTATGGCGTAATAAAGTACAATTCGCTCTAGCCACCTATCGCTATCGTAACAAATTGCACGTGATATATCTTCAGCCATTACTAGCGATACCACATCATTTTCTTCTGCAGGACACTATCCAATAAAATATTAATTAAGAAAATCATGTACATAAATAATACATTACGTGAAAATAATAAATTTATTTTATATATTGTAAGTTTTATTTATTATAAAGCTTTGTTTATTCTTGTTCATGTATCTTTCGTTTTTATTTTATCATAGACAATATTTGACTCCTTACTTAGACAATGCCGTTTGTATAGTTAAAATAAGATGATTTAAATAATGAGACAAAGAAGCTTACTTCGACGTGTTGAATAAACCATGTGTTTTTAACTTAATTCATAACAAAATACGTATTGATATTGGCAATGTATTGTTGCTGTTATAATTATGTTAAGCTGGAAATTATTATAATACAGAATGTCAGGGTAAACTGATTTCACTGTCTTTTAGGAATCAAGGTTAAAACGGCTTACATGAAATTTACACCTTTTTTCATTATTCCTTTCCCTCTTTTTTAGAGTACCTATCACTTAGAAGACCGCGGGCTTTAGATATATTCTACACCAAATAGAACTGACGATTTCTTTATGACCTAAGGAATGATTACATGACATAATGTTTAATATTTTTTTTATCAGAAAAAACTATTTCGTGCCTTCTTTTATTAGGTACCAAACTAATTTATAAATAGAAAAGGCTAAAGAAAGATAAGGAATGATTTTGCTCAGGAATTTAGATAACATAGAAAAAATATTTCTTATCAATATCCCATGAAAGAGTAAATCCTCGTCACCTTAGCTATTACTATACGCTCGT